AGTGGAAGGTGTCCCTGCCCATGGCAGGGGGTGGAATGAGGTCCCTTCCAACCCAAACCATTCTGGAATCCGTAAGCAGATTTCCAGGTTGTTCAGTGCCTCTGGATCAAAAGCAACACCTTGGATGGCCTCGAACATTGACCTGGGAGGTTTTGGGAGCACAGGTGTGGTGGGATCCTCAAGGAAGCCGTGTGGGATAAAGCAGTAGGACGAGGCAGAGGTTGGGCTGAGGGTGTTGGTGTGATCCCAGGGAAGAAGGGGGAATAAGCAGCAGAAAAAGTTGGTGAGGCAGCAGAAAACCTAAGCACGTGTGGATCCTGAGTATGAAAGGGAATGGGGACCAGCTGGCCCTGAGCAGGGGTGTCCGTGGGTCCATGACTAGGTCAGCTTTGGAAAGCTGGTAATTGGTTCCAGCAATTACCAGAGCCCTGAGAGCCGCCGCTCAAACTTCGGGAGCCCTGTGACAAATTGGAGCTGACTGCTGGTGCAGGAGTATCGACTTCCCATTTCCAAACAGGGGCATCATTAGTCAAGAAAAGCATCTTTTAATTACTCACAGGAAGAAAAAAAGAGAAAGGGGGGAAAGAAAGGAAACAGATCTCTCAGTATGGATCGTGCAACAACCACCAGGTTTTTTTGTGAGTGTATTCAATATTAAATTTACTGTCTTGGCGGGGGGAGCGGGCAGAGTTTGCCTGCAGTCCCTCCCTCGGTAACGCAGGTTTAATTTGGAGTGAGAAGTCAAATTAGAGTAAATCAATGTTGCGACAATTAACCAGGGCTAGGGATGAGATCAGGACTCTCCTCTAATTGCTATTGATACTGTTTGAGCACACTGTGCCAGCGGTGCTTTGCAGTGGGGCAGCACACGAGTGTCCCGGTGGGGCAGCGCTGCTCCGGGAACGTTGGAGAGGTGGGGAAGCCGACCTGGGGACTCTGTGCCGTGTGTGACCTGGGCCTTTTGCATAGGTGTGTCAGTCTCCTACAGGTATTTGCCTTCCTCCTGGACACACCTCGCAGGTTTTGCTTTCTCCCCATTACTGTTCCTATCCACGTGGATTCTGTTTGCAGACTTGGTTGCCACCATCGACTTCATGAGATGTTGTTGGCCTTTTCCAAAGGGGACAAGCTGCCACCATCCCCCTGCCCACTCCAGGAGACGATTATCTGCTCCCTCTCCCTCTTCCTCTGAGCTCCCAAGGTCTCCATCTCTGTCTCACTGGGATGATGTGTCACCTCCACCAGCTGGAAGCTGCTGGGCAAGCGGAGGGAAGGCAGGGTCATGTCCGGGCACCCTGCTTCTTGTTTTCCTACTCAAGTGATGCCAGATATCTGCATTAGCTACCCTAAAGGGCTAACCTTAAGTGCAAACCTTAAAAGGCTCCACCATTTTGGTATCTTTTTAAGAATATTCGTAAATAGGACAAACACCCAATTCCATTAAAACTATTTTTTAAGTGATGGGTGGCAGAAGCCCAGGCGTGGTTTTAAGCTCTGCTCTTTAGCTGGAGCATCTGCAGCAGTCGTGCTCGGGTTTGTTTGCACAGCAGTCGCCCTGTTTGTTCTGGGTACCAGAGGTGGTAGGAAAATCCAGTGCTGGCTGAGTAGTGTGGAGCTGGGAGCCAGCAGTGCCGGGAATTGCCTTTCACCTTCCGCTGTGAGATCCAGTTTGATCCCTCGCTCACTAATGAACTGAATTTAATGGTGTCGAGAAAACATTATGCAGCTCGACTGTATTTAGCTGAGTTTTACAGTCCTGCACTAAAGCCTGGCTTGCTGTTCCGAGGCTGAGCTGCTTTCTGGGGTATAACTGATGAAAAATATTAGACCATGTCTTCTGTGAAAAAAATTGACCCATACCATCTTTTTTCACAAAAATAATTAATCCTTTTTTATAGACAGTGCAAATAAAGGGCAAGCCCTGGGAAACAGGGTACTTGAGATCCCAGAATCGTATCCTGGGTCTGGTAGGGATGCCTCATCTCTGGCTCCTTTTGGAGCTGCTGTTATGGTCCTGTTGGTCTTGGATTCCTGGCATAAGGCGGCAGCGTCACAAACGGGGCGTGGGGGAGCATCGGGACCTCTCTGTCCGCATTGTCAGCTCCGGTTTCTTGGCGGTTCTTGGCCTGATGAGGTCAGTGTTTTGTGCCTTTTCAATGCTCCTCCACGCTTGACACCTTTCCCGTTTCAGGGGTGGGGGAAGGGGGTTTTTAAAAATAAATTAAAAAAAAAAAAAAAAAGGAAGATTTTATTGTGAAGGGCTGACCAGAACCCATCTGCAGTTGGGTGGCATCTGCTCCCCACATGTCACTTCCCTCATTAACAAGCAATTGAATTAATTAAATGCTACTCAGAACACGCATAACAAGCTACCGGCAGTGTCCAAATTAGCACTGATAATCAAGGATGATTTCCTTTATTATCCTGCTAAGTGG